TATATATTTGATTTTATTTAATTAAATAATTTAAGTTAAATTAAATGGAAATGATTTCATATTAATAATATGGTTTTTAAAAAAAAATGGCGCCAAAATTTATAATTTATAAATAAATAATAGCAAAAAAACAATTAATTGTTTGAAAATACTGATTATTAAACTTTTTTTATTCGTTTTTAATTTAGATTCTGATAAAAACAAAAAAAAATTTAATTGTTAGTCGGTTTTTTTTATTTATCAACAATTTAATGTCGTTTATTGATATGGAAAAAAAAATTTTAATTTTAGGCTTTTTTGTCAGACATTTTGTTTTTATATATATATATATATATATATATATATATATTAAATTTTTACTCGTTCGTTTGTATATAAGTATAATATTAATTATAGGTTTCAGGTTTTTCGTTTATTTATTTAAATTTTTTAATATTTTTTTTATTTCGTTCTTTAGTTATTATAAAAAATTTATTTTTTATTTCAGTTTGTACAAAAATATTTTGGGGATCATTAGTAGTTATGTTTAAACTCCATAAATAACTTGTTGACGTTTTCTTCGAGTTGGAAAATTATTCACATATATATTTTTTTATTATTATTTATTTATATTGTATTAAAATTATATTTTAATACGATGTTAAATTTTTTTTTTTTTAAAACGAATATTACGTAACATGCAGTATTTTTATCATTAATATTATTATTTATATATATATTTTCTTAGTTTATTTTTTATTTTGCATGAATTTAAATAATTATTTTTTTATGTTTTATTACTTGTTTATAAAATTTTTTTTTTTGTTTTTATTTAAATATGAAAAAAAAGAAAAGAAAAGTTTTTAAATATTTTTTTCCTTTATTTTGATTTTAATTTTGTAAAAAGAAAAAGAAAGAAAAAACTAAAGTAATTATTAAAGTTTTTTTTTATATATAAAATTTTTATACATGACTTAATGAACAGAATTTATAAGGAGGTCTTTAAATTTTTTTGTTTTACCTCTAAGTTAATTATTAAAGAAAAGAAATGATTATAGTATATTAATAATAAGTTTTTTATTTTAACTTCAATCAAAATTTATTAATTTATCCCATTTCAGTAAACAGGTAGTTTTAAGTACATATTTTTTATGGGTTTATATTCTTTAAGATAGTAAATTAGGGAAATAAGGTTGTACTATTGTTTTATGATAGTTTTTGATAAAAGTTAAAAAGTATAAGTTAAAAAAAAGTTTTATAATCGTTATTTTATTTGTTTCGAGTATATATTTCTTTAAAAATATTTTAATTAATAAAAATTTGTTTAAATATTATCTTAAAATTGTTGGCTCTTTTTAAGCCTTTAATTAATTATTTCAATGAAAAAGTAGATTTTCAATTTTTTTAGTAAAATGAATTTAAAACTTTTATACTGTACGTTTAATTAATATAATATTTTCAATTACAAAATTATAATTTCTCAATGTCAATATTAGAATTGATGACATTTTTTTTGTCAAGATGGCGGTTAAGTAGTAGCCTATATGTTAATATTTCTCTATGACTGCAACAAGTCGATTGTAGTTTTTATACAATTTACTACAAGCTTGACTGCTTTTTATTATTTTGCCGAAAAAAATAGTTAAGCAAAATTAATTATTTTGTTTTATTTTATTAATCATGGCACTACCCTATAAATTGTCATGTGCCATTTATGGTCACAAAAGTGATGTTAGATCGGTGACAGTTACTAAAGATGGTAAAATTGTTTCTGGGTCTAGAGATATGACGGCCAAATTATGGGCTCCTAATGAGTAAGATAATTAATGTATTTAATAGTAAGAGTACAAAGCTTACTGATTCAAAAATGCGATAATAGTATGATGGTAGCATTAAAATGTACCGTTTACCGTTACCGAAAATATAAAAAAAAATTTAATTTTACTCATTTTTGCTTATTTATCATTTACTTGTGTATTTTAGATCGGGATGCGGTTACAGAGAATGTTTGACGTTTTCATCGCATAATAATTTTGTTTCTTGTGTTTGCTACGTTCCTCCCAGTAATAAATATTGTGATGGTGTAATAGTGACCGGTAGCAATGACAAAGCAATTAGGTTATTTGATGGAACTCAAACTAATCCTTTCAAAGTTCTGAATGGCCACAATAATACGGGTAATTATTACATAAAAAGATTAGATAAGATTTAAAATAAGATTCAGAATTTTTTATGATGTTATCTAAATTGATTTTTCAGTATGTAAAATTGTTCCTGGTGTTCAGGAAAATACAATATTAAGTTCATCTTGGGATCAGAGTGCTAGACTATGGGATTTAGTATCATTTGAAATTCTTTCCATATTTGTTGGTCATGAAGCTGCTGTGTGGTCAGTTATTCAATTGCCTTGTGGTACTGTCGCAACTGGCTCTGCCGATAAAACAATTAAAATTTGGTCAAAAAATGGAACTTGTTTGAATACCCTTTCAGGTGTGTTAACCTTTAATTTAAGTTTTTCATATTTTCTTTAGTAAATTTTATTGCAATGACTGAAATATTGCTCAAGAAATTATTTATGATGAGAATACTTTTTAGTATTGTATTATAATTTTAGGTCACACTGATTGTATTCGAGATCTAGCTCTAGCAGCTTCAAAACAAATTTTAAGTTGCTCAAATGATGCTACTATTAGGTTGTGGAATGTAGAATCTGGTCAATGTTTAAACACATTCTTTGGTCATGGTCATTTTATTTATTCTATATTTTACATAGGTAACTTTTAAAAAATTTTTTTATTTTATATAGTATGTAAGGTTTTGTATTATACATATTTTATGAATTTAGATTCTACAAGTTTTTTAACTAGTAGTGAAGATAGTACTGTCAAATTATGGATGAATGGAAAAGTAGTCGATACAATACCTATTCCTGCTAATAGTATTTGGAGTGTTACTACTGCACCCAATGGAGATATTGTGACTGGTTCCAGGTATTCGATATTTTTTTATTTTAAAAAAATTACAATTGAAGATGAAAAATTAATTTTTAATTTCTTACTTTAAATACCCTTTAAATTTATTTTAATTTATAATTGTCTGAACATTTTTCGATTTTACTTTTCTAAAAAAAAAAAAAAAAAAAAATTTTAGTGATGGAGTAGTACGTGTTTTCTCGACGGATACATCAAGACAAGCAAGCCAAGACGAATTAAAAGCATATGAAGAAGAAATTTCAAAATCAGAAAAAAATTCAGCCCAAAAGTTAGAAGGAATTAAAATTTCCGAGTAAGTTTTAATGAGTTTTCTTTAGTTAGCCCGCATATTGTCTATCAAAAAAATCTATCAAAGAAATTTTCATTGAAAACTTTGCTTTGTTAAAAACTTATTTGTTTTTAATTATGTAGATTACCAGGGGAAGAGGCGTTATTAGAAAAGGGATTAAAAGACGGTCAAACTAAATTAATTCGAGAAGGGAGTAAAGTATTGGCTTACACGTGGTCTGAAAACGAACGGAAATGGAATTTAATTGGAAATGTAACTGGTTCCGTGGAAAATGATAGAGTTGATGAAACTGGAAAACAAGTTTACCAAGGAAAAGTAATTATTGTTTTTATTACTCGAATACCTACTACTACTTTCGTTGACTTAAAAAGAAATAAATGTCAATGCAGTCGTGTAAAATTCCAAAAATATTTTGATTTTAGGAGTACGATTTTGTGTTTAGCGTTGATGTAGAACCTGGAAAACCATTATTAAAATTGCCTTATAATAAAACTGATGATCCGTGGCACGCTGCTCAAAAATTTATTCACGATAATAACTTAAGTCAAAATTTTTTAGATGAAGTTGCCAATTTTATTATTAGAAATTCCGGATATGGGAAAAGTGCCATCGGTAATTCATCGAGTTTTGTGGATCCTTTTACGGGTAAAATTTTTATTACTTTATTTTTTAAAACCGACAATTTTGAATTTTTTAAATGTTTTTATCAACATAATTAAATAAATTTGTTTAAAACGGTAGGAGAAGGACGATATATACCCGGAAATAATTTCAGCCCTGGCGAATCAAGAAGTGGGGATTCTGGATATATGACAAGTACCTCAAAACATCAAAATAATAAAGAGAATAATATTTTTTTAAATACATATTTTCCTCAAAGAGAATTTCTTAAATTCGATCAAGCCAACGTCAATGTAATTTTAGGTATATCATTAACCGATAAATATAAGTAACAATTTTAAATTTCTCTTTGTTTGATTTAAAATTAACCAAACATATAATTATGTATTTGATTTTTTTTTTAAAGAAAAGCTCATGGAATTTAATAATAAAATAGAAAGGAAAAGTTTAAAGGTCAGTAAAAGTCAAATTGAAAATTTGCTTAAAACTTGCGAGTCGGGAGCAAATTGTACAGTCGAGGATATCGAAACGTTAAATATATTATTAGAATGGCCTCAAGGTAAAAATGACTTTTGAACTTTACGCACTTGATTATGAGCTTTGTTTAAAGCAATGTAAATTTGTAATTTTTTTTTTTTGTTTTTTAAAAGTATACGGTTTCGTTTTTCTAGAATTAGTTTTTCCCGTTTTGGATGTCATGCGTTTATCAATAAGAAATTTCGAAGCGAATAAACTTTTATGCACCGATAAATTAATTCCTAAATTAATGAATTACATAAGTTCTGATTCTGGCGTAAGTAATAACATTTTTTTTTTCTATTCTTTCTTTCTTTCTCAAATAATAAATTATTATTACGTGATTTTTTTTTTTTTTTTTTTTTTAATAAAACAGGCTATGTCAAATACGATGTTAGCTCTTCGTGTCTTATCAAACATGATCTCGGAAGAACCCGGTTTTAAATTAGCGTATCAAAATAAATTAAGACTTTTATCAATAATTGAAAATATAAAACCACCCTTGAGCAAGCCAATACAGGTATGTATGTGTGTTTGTGAATGTAAATACTATTATTATTATCGAAAGAAAAAAATGTTATAATTTATCCTTATTTTAAAAATTTTTTTTTAGATCGCTATGAGTACTTTATTATTGAACATATCAGTCATGTTAAGACGTTCAGAAACTCCGGATGGTCAATCCGAAACTTTAGTCGTCATTCAAAACGTTTTGTCAAGATTTACCGATCAGGAAGCATTATTTAGAGCATTGGTCGCGTTAGGAACACTACTCATAGACATGATAGACAGTAAAAAATATTCATCCGCTTTTAAAGAATTTTTATTGAAATTTCAAAACGATTCCGCTTACGGAGCGAAAATTCAACAATGTTGTCACCACATATTGGAAGTTTTACAATGATCAATTCGTAATTTAAATATAATTAAAAGCTTTAAAATTTTAATTTTTAATTTTTTAAAAATAAATAAATTATCATCAATACGGTCGATGTTTCAATTGCAATTTAATTGTAATTTTTTTTTTTTTTTATTAAAATATATAAATAAGTGCTCAAATGCAACTGCCAAATCGCTGTTAATAAAATTTAAAATGTTTTAATTTTTTTTTTCTTAATTTTTTTTCGTCGTAAAAATTTAAATCGTTTGGTAATTATTATTATTATTTTATTATTTTATATCGTATTTATTAAAAAAATTATAGAAAATGAATTGAATGGCGTGACGAAAAGCAAGAAAAAATTAAATTGCAATATTGAAAAAAGGTTAAATTTAATTAAGAAATATAATAATAATAATAATAATAATAATAATAATAATAATAATAGGTTTTTATAAGAAAAACAAAATGTAGGAGAGAGAATTTAAACAATAATAAAATTTTCTTTTACTATTTGAATTTTAAAATGACTTTTATAATTTATTTGTATGTAAAACAAAAAATTAAAATGGCGGAATAAAATAAAAATTAAAAAAAAAAGAAAATTTATTTTGGTTTAACCGAAAAAGGAAACTTGTAAACGTTACGAGTTTATTTATTTATTAAAAAATCAAAATATTTTTTATGCTTTAAAGGCTTTAATTATGAAAATTTAAAAAATAAATATGTCGTTAAAAAAATTTTTTTTTTTTTTTTTTTTGCTAAAACTTATTTTAAACAAAACAAATAAGTTTAAATAAGTTAAACTGGACCGATTTTATATTGTTTTATATTAAAATCTAATAAAATAAAAAGTTTTCAAAGTTTTACTATTATTATTATTATTATTTTAAATTAACTAAACGATATTGTTTTTAAAAAATTTATTTTTCTTATGTATGTATATTAAAAAAAATACTCCTAAAACGCTTTTTCTTTTTTTTTTTTATTTATTTTTATTTATTTATTTTTAATAAATAATTAAATTTTTTATTGCTCTTATTAAAAAAAAATAAAGAAAAAGTAATTAGGTAAACAATTTTTTAAGTATTTATTGTTTAAAAAAGGAAAATAATTAATTATAAATAAACTTTTTTTTTTAAACAATATCGATAAATAATAATAATAATAATATTTTTCATTATTATTATTAAATTTTAATTTAAATATAATTGAAGAGAAGGGGGAGAGAAAGAAACGTTTAAATCGTAGTAGTATTAAAATTATTATTTTCGGAAGTCCTGGGAAAATCGATGATGTTTTCTTTTTTTTTTTTTTTCTCTCTCTCTCTCTCTCCAAAAGCGCATGCCTTTATTAAAACTATCCTGGAATCTGGTCCATTACAGTGTCATCGAGATAATGGGGTGTATCATCTTGTATTGATAGTGTGACCTGTTTATAGTTAAAGACCTTTCGCCTTTTTTTTTCATTTTTTTTTTATTTATATCCGTTATTTTTTTTCAATCAAATAATTTATGTACGAAAATGTAAAAGTGCGTGAGTGCGTGTACGTCTTATTTAATTTGTAATTAATTGTAACATGGATTATTATTATTATTAAAAAAAAAAAAAAAAACAAAATATTTAACTTAAGGAGGATTATTATCTATTTACAAATAGAAAAAAAAAGGTTTGGTCTATTCTTTATTATTATTATTATTATTATTATTTGACCGAAAGGATATATTTATATTTTTTTTGTTATTGTAATATTAAAATAATAATAATAATAATGAAATATTTTAAAATAAAAATGATGATTCGGTTGATTTATTATTATTATTATTAACTTTAATAAATAATTAAAATTTAGTTTCGGTTTTGTGTAAAAATCATAATAACGGAAAATTATTGCAATTTTCCAACAGAATTTTTTTTTTAATAATAATACTAATGATAATAATTTGTTAATTATAAATTTTAAAAAAATGAGTCGTCGTTAAAAAACGTTTTTATTAAACGTTAAAAAAAAAAAAAAAATTTAACGGATCGTTAACTTTTATTATTATTATTATTATTATTATTATTTTTTATTTAAATAAAATAAAATTCGATCGTTGACGAATAATAAAAAAAAAAAATTATAAAACGTATCTAACTAATAAATAACGTTATTAAAATTTCATTATTATTATTATTAAACGAGTTTTTAAAAAAAAAAAAAAAAAATTGAAATTAACTAATTGCTTCATTATCATTATTATTATTATTTTGTATTTCGATATTAATTTGAATATTTTTTTAATTCATTCTCATTTATTTTTTTTTTAAATTAATAAATTGAGTATATATAATAATAATGATAATGATCATTGTATTAACAAAAATAATAATAATAATGCACAAATAGAAAAGGGGAAAAAAAAAAAAATTATTTTTAAATGTAAATTTTTTTCTTTTCTTTAATGGCTACTGATTAATGGCAAAAAGAAAATATATGGATGTATGTTAAAGAAAAGAAAATTTTTTGTTGTTGTTGTTGTTGTATTCGGATAAAATTTTGGCATCAAATTTTTTTTTTTTTTTTTTTTGTTAATAATGATAAATTTTACAAAATTGTTTAAATAAAATTAATTTTATTTAAACAAAAAAAAAAAAAAAAATGATGATGACAATTGGGTTTGTCTGTGTGTGAAGTGAAAAAAAAAAAAAAGAAAGAAAGAAATGAAGGAAAGAAGGAAGGAAAGGGGGAAAGGGAGAAAAAGGGAGGCGAAAAAAAACCATAATTTATTATTATTATTATTATTATTAATAAAATAAAATTTATATAAAATAATTTCAACTATTCTCGAATTACAAAAAAAAAAAGGAAGGAAAATTTTTTTTTTTTTAATTTTTAAAAAAGGTTTTTATTTTTCCAATTCGCAATGTTTTTTATGCATTTTAATTTGCCACTCTCTCTCTCTCTCTATCTATCTATCTCTCTCTTTCTCTCTCTCTCTCTTTCTCTCTCTCTATCTCTCTATCTCTCTCTCTCCTTTCGAGAACTTTTTTCTTTTTAAAAATAATTTTTTTTAATTCAATTGATGTTTGCTTATGAAAAAGTTAATTTTATTTTTTTAAACAAAACAAAATTTTTTTTTTTTTTTCCTTTTTTCCTTTTAATATTATTATTATTATTATTATTATTATGTTGAAAAGAATAATAAATTATTGTTGTTCGATTTTATTAAATTATGTTATTGGTTTTTTTTTTTTTTAAATTCAACTTTCTTTCTTTCTTTTTTTTTAGTTGCATTATTATTATTATTATTATTATTAATAATTTAAAATTGTAAGAAAAAAAATATGTATATATGTATAGGTATGTATATAAATTTTTTTCTTTTCAGATTTTTTTCCAATAGAAAAACAAACGGGGGGAGGATAAATAGTAATAATAATAATAATAATAACCGGATGGCACATTGATATGATTTATTAGTAAATAAGTCATCTCTTGTTTTCTCTTAATTGTTTAAAAAATATTTCACGTCCATAATTTATTTATTTTCGGGTTTCCATTTAGTTTCTTAATTAATAATAATAATAATAATAATAATAATCAGTAGACAAAAATAAAAAAATAAAATAAAAACGAAAAGGATAATTAATAAACTCCTCGCAATGGAATTTAAAAAACATTTTTTTAGATGACATTAAATAGGATTTTTCCATTCGTTTAGGGAAAAATGGTCGAAATTTTTTTTTTATGACCTTGTCAGGTTTTATGATATAACGAATAAATAATAATAATAATAATAATAATAATTTCTTTTTTGTTGATTTGTTTAAAAAGAAAATTTTATATAGGAGGTGGTGGTGGTGGTGGTGGTCTTTTAAATGTTTTTAAATGTTTGATGTAGAAAGTAGAGGCCTTAAACCTAGTCCTGCCTTAAATAACCTCATTGTTTTTTTTTTGTTTTTGTTGCCCTTGGGCTGTCGTCTGTTAAAAATTTAATAATAATAATAATAATAATATATTTATTAAGGCTCTAAGTTTTCGAGGCCTTATACATATATAATTTCATTTATTTTATTTTATTTTTTTAATAATTTGGATACTGATTATGTCTTTCCGTTCGATAAGTTTTTTAAATTTGTTTTTAATAATATTTATATTATTGATAAAAAATTATGATTTTGAAGAAACCCGAAAACCTAGAGATATATCAAATTTAGTTGATTATTCAATAAAAACCTTGGATAAATCACATAAGGGAAAATTCGATATAAAAATGCTCATGCCGAAAATTCCAAAATTTATACAAGTTTATATAGCCGTTGCTTTTTCTGAAAGGGATTTTCCATCGTATTCAAAAATATTTAATAAAACTTTGTCAAGCATTCCAAACAGTTTTTTAATATTGGATTCGTTAAATCGTTATTATAATATTTCCGTGGCTCCACTTTTTTTCGTTTTACCCAATTCCGGACGATTTTCCTCGTCCATTTATGAAGTTTTATGTAGTTCTTTTGATAAAAAAAGAGTCGTCGCCATTTTGGTTATTGGTGAAAGTCCGGCTGCTTTTACAGTGTCGTTGGCGGCAATCACGAGTAACATTCCGGGTAAATTTTTATTTATTTATTTATTTATTTTTTCTTAGCGGTAATGAATGTGAAAAATAATGAAAAATGTTTTTTTTTTTTCAAGTACTCTGGGCCAGAGGTGGTAATCCAAGTCCTCCTGGAAGTTTTCAACAGCAACATTTACTTGAAATCCGATTGGAACCGAGTGAAATACAATTATTGGAAGCCGTTCGAGGAGTTTTTTTGGCTACTCATTGGCATTCGTTTACCGTAATGGCTGCTCCTTCATTAGCAGCAAGATGCGCTTCCATTTTGGATAGTCCGCCTTTAAATCCAAAAGTTGTGCCGATAACTCATAAACCTCAAAATATTTTTAGGTAATTTATTACTTTTAAAAAGTTGCGTTCCCACAATAATCGTTGAAAACAAACAAAATTTGTTTATTTTTTTAATTTTTATCTCAGAAAATTAGCCGACGTTTCGAGATCTACTAGAGGAGTAGTTTTACTAATATGTGATTTATCAGAAGCATCCATTGTTATGAACGTGGCAAAAAATTAAGCATGATAGATGGACATTT